ATCATGCCAGGTGGCCCTGGGGAGGGCACAGGCTGGGATGAAGTTGGTGTGCAGCGGGGCCCCTCCCAGGTGCCCCTGAGGCTAGCATGCCCAGTGGCCAGATTCAAATCAAGCTGAAGCATCTCCCAGCCACCTCTAAGGATGACACACCCAAAGGGCATACTTGGCAGGCACCAGAACTCTGCTAAAGTGAATCCTGCTCTGTAGGGTCAGGCCCTCCACAACAGCTCCTCCACTGTAGTCATGGCCAGTCCTCACAACCAATCAGCCCGAGGGTCAGTCCCTCCACTGATGTGCAAACAGCAACCAAGGCTCAAGGATCACAGGAGGATACATACAACCTACACAAAGGGACACTCCTGGAGCACCCAGCTCTAGTGACCAGGGAGACTGAGCCACTGGGTCCCACAATACACCTACTGTATAAGGCTACTCTACTAAGACTGGGAGGCATAACAGCCTTCCCTAACAAACACAGGGAGGCAGCCAAAAATGGGAAGACAAAAAACATGTCCCTAACAAAAGCACAAAACAAAGCTCCAGAAAAAGAACTGAACAAAATGGAGACAAGCAACCTATCAGACGCAGAGTACAAAACACTGGTAATGAGGATGCTCAATGATCTTAGGGAGAATTTCAACAAAGAGATAGGAAATATAAAAATGGAGATAGAAAACATTAAAAAGAACCAGTCAGAAATAAAGAATACAATAATTGAAAGAAGGATACATTATGGGAACTCAACAATAGATTAGATGAAGCAGAGGACTGAATCAGCAATTTAGAAAATAAGGTAGCAGAACACACCCAAACAGAATAGCAAAAAGAAAAAAGAATCCAAAAAAAATGAGGACAGTTTAAGGAGCCTCCGGGACAACCTCAAGCATATCAACATTTGCATTATAGGGGTACCAGAAGGAGAATAGAGAGAGCAAGGAATTGTAAACCTATTTGAAGAAATAATGACGGAAAACTTCCCTAACCTGGTGAATAAAATGGATATTCAAGCCCAGGAAGCACATAAGAGTCCCAAAGAAAATGAACCCAAACCAAGACACATTATAATTAAAATGCCAAAGGTTAAAGACAAAAAGAGAGCCTGAAAAGCAGCAAGAGAAAAGCAGTTAGTTACCTACAACAGAACTCCATAAGACTGTCTGACTCTCAACAGAAACTTTGCAGGCCAGAGGGATTGACAGGAAATATTCAAAGTGATGAAAAGCAAGGACATAACAACCAAGATTACCCAGCAAAGTTATCATTTAGAATTGAAGGACAGATAAAGAGCTTTCCAAACAAGTAAAAGCTAAAGGAGTTCACCACCACCAAACCAGTATTACAAGGAATCTTAGAGGGATGTCTTTAAGTAGAAAAAAAAAATCAAAATTATGAATACTAAAATGGAAATAATTACATATCTATCAACAATTACTTTAAATGTAAATGGATTAAATGTTCCAATCAAAAGACATAGGGTGGCTGACTGAATAAGAAAATAAGATCCAGGGCCGGCTGAGTGGCTCAGTTGGTTAAGAGCTCGCTCAAGAGTTTGAGCTCTGAGTAACAGCGGTTTGAGTCCCGGCCCAAGCTGAGCAGCTGTTGAACTGCCAACAGGTGGCAGGATGGCTCAGCTTAAAAAAAAAAAGAAAAGAAGATCCATACACATGCTGTCTACAAGAAACTCACTTCAGATAGAAAGAAATACACAGGTTGAAAGTAAAGGGATGGAAAAAGTTCATGAAAATGGAAACAAACAACAAAAAGTTGGGGTACCAATACTTATACCAGACAAAATAGACTTTAAAATAAAGGCTATAATGAGAGACAAGGAAGGATCCAGTAATCCCACTTCTGGGTATTTATCCTAAGAAACCCAAAATGCTACTTTGAGAGGACGTGTTCGTCCATATGTTCACTGCAACATTATTGATAATAGCCAAGATATGAAGGCAACCTGGGTGTCCGTGAATGGATGAATGGATAAAGAAGAGTTGGTACATTTATACAATGGAATATTACTCAGCCATTAGAAAGAATGAAATCTTGCCATCTGCAACAACATGGATGGACCTAGAGGGTAATGTTCTGAGTATAGTAAGTTAGACAGCAAAAGACAAATATTACACTTCACTTATAAGTGGAATCTAAAGAACAAAATAACTAAATGAAACAAATAAGATACAGAGAACATTTTGATGATTGCCAGATGTGAGGGGGATTTAGGGGAGGTGAAAAAGGGGAAGGGACTAAGAAGTACAAATTGGTGGTTACACAGTAATCATGGGGATGATAAAATAAAGGGACTATAATCAATAGTATGGTAATAACTATGTATAGGGCCAAGTGGGTACTAGACTGATTAGGGGGATCACTTCTTAAGTCATATAAACATTTAACTACTATGCTGTATGCCTGATGTAATGTACAGCATAGGTAACATAGTCAATATTGGGATGGCATGGTACAGTGTCAGATGGTTGCTGGACTTATCATGGTGATCACTTCTTTAGGCATACAAATGTTGAATAACTATGGTGTACACCTGAAACTAATATGATATTGTATATTAAGTTATATTTTAATAAAATTTTAAGAAAAGAATATTTTAAAAAAAGAAAAAAGTCAAGTTACACAACCTTTTCAAGGCTCATTATGAAGTACACTACTGAAGACTATAAGGTACACCAATCAAGGCATAGTGATGATAGTTTATAAAAAAGAAACTGTGGCATTGGCATCGAGGGAGACAAATACATTGATGGACAGAATGGAGGGTCCAGAAATAGACCTATGCGTATATGGTCAATTTATTTTGACAAAGGTGCAAAAACATTTCAGTGGAGAAAGAATACTTTTTTTTCAGTAAATAGTCCTGGAAAAATTGTTATCCATATTTAAAAAAAGAAAAAAAGAACTGGCATCATATACAAAAATTAACTCAAAATGGATCAAAGGCCTAAGTGCAAAAACCCAAAACTATACAACTTCTAGAAGAAAACTAGGATAAGTTCTTTGTGGTTATAGGTTAGGCCAGTGCAACACAAAAAGCATAAACCATAAGAGTAAATGTTGATAAAATTGACTTTATCAAAATGAAGAATTTATGCTCTTCAAAAGACACTGTTAAGAAAGTGAAAAACAAGCCAAAGACTGGGAGAAAAATCTTTGCAAATCATATATCTGATATAGCTTGTATTCAGAATATATAAAGTATTCTCAAAACTTGAAATGGAAAAATAAACAATCCAGTGATAAAATGAGCAAAAGGTTTGAATAGATACTTCCACTAAAGAATTTTTACAGATAGAAAAGATACATATGAAAAGATGTTCAATACCATTAGTTATCAAGGAAATATAAATTAAAATCATAATGTGATGTCACTACACAATTTTATAATGTCTCCTAAATTAAGAAGACCATACCAAGTATTGGTGAGGATGTGTAGAAAGTATAACTCTCATACTCTGTTGGTGGGAAGATAAAATGATACAACCACTTAGAAAACAGTTTGGCAGTTTCTGAAAAATTTAAACGTACATTTACCATAAGGCCTAGCCATTACACTTTATTTACCCATGAGAGCATATGTACACAGAAAGACTTGTACATGAATATCCCTAACAGCTTTATTTGTAATAGTATTTGGAAACAACCCAATTGTCCACCAACAGATGAATGGCTAACGAACTGCGGTATAGTCATACAATGAAATAATATTCAATAATAAAAAGGAATGAACTATTGATATATGCAACAACGTGGATGACTCTCGAATAATTATGTTGGGTGAAAGAAGCCAGACAATTGAGTACATACAATATGATTCCATTTATAGAAAATTTAAACAAATGTACAGTGACAGCATATCTGCTTGGGGATAGGGTTGGAAGATGCAAGAAGAAGAGGAAGATAAAGGGCCTGAGAAAATTTTGGGGGGTAATGTATATATTCATTCTCTTGGTGGTGATGGAGTCATGGGTACATGCATACGTTAGAACTTATAAACCTGTTCACTTTAAAAAGTGTAGTTTATTCTACATCAGGTGTACCTTAGTAAAGCTGTATATATACATATATATTATATATATAGCCATAAATAAAATAAAACTCTAAAATTTATTCAATTAATCCAGAAGTAGGCAGAAACAAAGTAACAGAGGAACAAAAAAAGAGGGGGCAAATAAGAAACAAATATTAAAATGGTAGACTTAAGTCCATCCATATACATAATTGCATTTAACGTTAATGGACTAAACACTGCAATTAAAAGATATTATCAGAATTGACTTTTTTTAAAAGCAAGGTCCAATTATATGCTGTGTCCAAGGGATGCACTTCACATGAAACGATATAGATAGGTTGAACTAAATGGCTAGAAAAGTATATACCATGCAAACTAAATTTAAGAAAGTTGGTGTGGCTATTTTAATATCAGGTAAGTTCAAGACAGTGAGGTAAGAAGAGGAAAATTTCATATCGACGAAAGGGTCGATTCAAAGAGAAGATATTACTATCATAATGTATATGCACTTAAGTGAGTTTGAAATTAGATGAAACACAAATGACAAAATTAAAAGAAGAAACAGACAATTCCACATAGTCCAAAACTGATAGAACTAGGCAAAACAAAAATAGTAAAAAGAAATCTAAATAATACTATCAACCACCTTGAGCTGGTTGATATTTATAGAATACTACACCTAATAACTGCAGAATACAAATTCTTTGCAAGTGCACTTGATATTAACATAATACATTCATCAAGCTACTCTGGGCCATAACCTTACAAGGATCTTTTAACACCATGCAGCTGTTCCTTCTGTACCCTAAATCTTGGGAAAAGTTGCTGAGGGCTATCACAATTTATTAACTTGCCTGGATTATGTCAGTATTTCTTAAGAAGCAATTAACATGTTACTTCTGTTCACAAAAATGCATAGCATATTTTAAAAATTAAGTTATTAAAATTTTTATTCAACACTAATATATTTTTTTAGGTGCAAAGATATACAAGGCTTCGTAATCACCCCAAGACCACATACACAGAGGGAACATGAATGATATTTCCCAGAAGGCTGAGGTAAGTCTCAAAAGTTAAAAAACAAAAATTGGGGAAACATAAGGTTGACTTCAGAGCTGCTGAAAGGGCAATTGTTTGGTGGAATGGTTATATACAGAAGTTCATAATACCGTAGTGTCAAGATGTAAAACCTAAGAAGAGGTAAAATTCATAGGCTGGTCGTGGGCCCAGTATTTTCACTTGGATTCTGATGATGGGAAGCATGTTTATTAAATTTGTGAATTATAGTGAAGTGGGTGTGATGATGGCTAGCCTCTGAGTAGAATTTTAACATCTTGATAAGTCGTACAGGTTATTTTTTCAGTATTAAAAAAAAAAGATTTGATGTATACTCTGAGGAGAAAGCGGTAATTCACTCTCAGGTGAGGATCCTTCTTAGTGCATCTTTCAGCAGCTACAAAAAAAACTTCTTAGCCATTTTCTGATTCTTGGCTGCAGTTACTGAGAGTTGTCGTAGAAAATCTCACTCCCAACTTTGCTGACACCCTAAAATTATAAACTTTAACTGGCCAATGACACCATAAGTACATAATAAAATAGAGGCTGCATAGGCCACAGATGAATCAAGCAATTTACTGGGTTGTCGGAAAAGTCATGACGTATTTTTTCTTTTTTGTTGCAAAAATATGTCATGACTTTTCCGACAACCCAATATCATTAACACGAGAAGCAAGGGTCTGGTGTTCCAAGACATGTTTTATTTACATGTTCTTTTAGAGATCAGCTTAATTTTCAAAAACTTTGAAAATAATTTGCTTTCCTGGTTTTAGAGTGGAGGAGAATCTATTCTCCAGTCTTTTGCCAGATTCCTCCTTTGGGAAGCACTTTTGCCATTTGGGAATCTCCCTCTTAGAGCTCACCCTACTTGGAGCGATACAGCCTTCTTACACATTTTTAATGTCGGTTTAAAGGACTTCTAGATGGGTGGTGCAGCAGGAACAATATTAACCAGTGCTTGTGCACAAAGCCACCTCAGCCACAAACGAGATATAAAGGACTGGCCTTCAGTTTGCTCATATTAGATATGGAAATGAGCAAGAACGTTAATATGTGAAGTAGGTTTTAAACTGTAAAACCTGAACTGCTGCTTTACTTTTAACTTCATTTAATTTATTGAAATTAGCCTTGGTATCTTTTAAGCAAATGATAGAGTAGGATGATGAAATACAGGTTGTTTACAATTAGAATCCAGTATTCAATTTTTATATTCTACTAGCCTTCAGTTTCCGTGGAATGCACTTACAAAATGAGACTTCTCTACTATATGTTTATAAGTGTTTTACTCTCATATTTTCTGCAATTTCCTCTTTTTATATTTAAACTTCAGAAAGTATCTAATCAGATTCCAATGGTTCAAATAAAGGTTTCAAACTCATTTCTATTTTCTGTTTCAATAACTGGTTCTTATATTGCTTATTCTGATCTCTCTTTACCTAATTTCTTCCTATCTTATTTTTTTTCACTTTCTTCTCTTCATTGTCTTCTAATGAAGATTCTACTTTCTTCATCTAAACCTGTCCCAAAATCCTATGTGCCAAAACTTGGCAAAGGTGATGTAAAGGATAAGTTTGAAGCCATGCAGAGAGCCAGGGAAGAAAGAAATCAAAGGAGATCTAGAGATGAAAAGCAAAGAAGAAAAGAACAATATATTAGAGAGAGAGAATGGAACAGGAGAAAGCAAGAGGTCATTTTCTTTTCTTTCATTCTTGTGCAAATATTCACTTTCACCTTTCAGATTTACATTTTGTAAGTCACATTAACCACATTTCATGTTAGCTTATTATAATTAAAATAATTTTCTGTATTTATAAGCTAATTTCAAATTCTGCATATAATGTGAGTTCGTCTAAATGTGTGACATGCTCCTATTCGTTTACTTAACCATCTAGATGAAAGAAATGCTTGCTTCGGATGATGAGGGAGAGGTATCTTCTAAAGTAGAAAAGCCTTACGTTCCAAAGCTAACAGGTAAGAAATTAAAAGGGTAAATTGTAAACGAAATTGCAAAAAAGGAAACATAGCAAAATATCAAGCATGTTTCATGTATTCTTAGGAACTGTTAAAGGTAAATTTGCTGAAATGGAGAAACAAAGACAAGAGGAAGAGAGGAAGAGAACAGAGGAGGAACGAAAACGCAGAATTGAGCAGGATATGTTAGAAAAGAGGAAGATACAACGTGAATTAGCAAAAAGGGCTGAGCAGGTACACACGAAATGTTAAGTTGGTCTTTGCTTCAGAAACTAATTGTATAGAGTAAAACTAATCATTACGTTGCCTAATTAAAATATTTTAATGTAACATGAACCTATTAAGTAGCAGCTCACTTGAAAAAAATATCTTAAGCACAAAAATTTAATATCAAATGTCTAGAAGAATAAGGTAGAATGTGCCTATTTTAAGGTTGAATACAAAGATGATTTTTGGTATATACCATCTTATCATTCTGTCCACATTCCTTACACTGTCTACATTCTTTATTTTTCTTGACATGTTATTAGATTTTACGAAGAAATAAGGTAATTTCACACACCCACAAGCACCTAACAAAATGCTGGTCTTTTAATAGAAATCAATAAATACTTGTTGGTTATTATCAAGCACTAAGGCATAATTAGCATATCTTCCTACTCAAGAATTTGAAACCAATTAAATCACATTTTATTTAATAATGGTATTATTAGCTAGCTTTACTTGCTTTTTGTTTTTATTTTTAAAGATTTTATTGGCGAATTTGGGGAGGTGAACAGCATTGGGGAATCAGAAAAGGGGAACAGACAAGTTGCTGTCCTTTTGTTCTTCAGTCTAGTTGTGGAGGACATCGCTTCACTGGCCCATGTTGGTGTTATCATTGCGCTCTTCCTGGGTGAGGCAGATAGGTCGCCAGCCACTGGACAGCTGCTCACGGCGGCTGCCAGCCACTCACGGTAGCTTACAGCAGCCCACTGCAGCCTACGCTGTCGCCAGCGTCTCACGGCAGCCCAGCTCCAGGTTGAGCTGTTGTTCACCATCTTAGCTGTAGAGGGTGCAGTTTCACTGGCCCTCGTGTGGGATCTGAACCGGGGCCCTGCTGCTTAGAGCTGGCATCCCAAGCCAATGCTTAATGTGCCACGTGGCCAGCCCTTTTTCTTTCTTTTTTTTTTAAGTTGGGGATGAAAATAGAAGAGTGGAGCAAATGTGTGACATCTATTTCCTTTGTATAACTGACACCCATACCCACAGAGGACAAATTAGAATTAAAGTATTATTATTGTGATTTTATATAGTCTGCTAATGAACTTCAAATCCCATGTATTTTAGTTCAGAGCATGAGAATTAAGAGGTTGGTAAGTATTTTTAAAATGCTCAAGAATCTGATATAATTTCCAGAAAAGGCTAATCTCTCGAAATGATTAGTGATTATAATGACATAAACTTGAAGTTCTAATACTCATATTTTAAATAAAGAGCTAATCAAGTCATAAAAATTTCTTTAATATATTGACATTTGTTTCACATTATAAATTATCTAGTCATAGAATCGAAAAGATGACAGAAGACAGGTTTATTGTTTATGTACTTCAACCTGATCTACCTTGGAAAATCAAGGGATGATAATGTTTTTGATACTGTTAAGAAGTAACAGTAGTCTTTATCTCCTAGAGTTACAAATAAGATTACACGAGTTAATAAAGGCAAAGCACTTAGAACAGTGCTTGGTACAAAGTAAGTGGGCTATAAATACTAATGTTTCATCTAAATAATAATACATTAGATAAAATGTCATGAAACCACTTTAGTTCCCCCTCCTTTGCTCTTCAGTGTTTTAATAAATATCCTAACATAGTTTTCACAGTATATTGTCTCTTTAGAAATCATTTTAATTGTGAGATTGTACTTGGCTTTTTTTAACCTATTTTTTAAGTGCCTTAAATCTATTTGCTATGCTCCTTTCAGCTTCCACTACCTTTCTAAAAAGAAAAGTGACGAAGGCAAAGCATATGCCATCCTTGCATGTCCAAGGAATGTATTTACCCAGACTTTGCAAATAACCACTTCTATGGCACAAACAGTCATTTTTATGGTGGCAGAATATGGCATATACCAGATGAATTATAGAGAATTGGGATTTCTTATATATTATGACTTTGGCATCTTTATCTGAGGAAAGTACAGTATATACTTTACCTCTGCCACCTCCAGTCATCAAAGATTAGTATACCTTTTGCAATGAAATTTCACAAGGTAAATACAATTATAGTAAATGAGATTTATAAATTATATATTATACAGATAAAACATAAAACTACATATAATTCTATTATGATATAAATCATAAAATGAGGCAATAAAATATATAATTAAAATACATGGTGACTGGCAGCAAATAGTGGGTATGCACATGGGCTTAGTCTGCTTCTTTCATCTTCTGTCCTTTTTCAAAAAACACTGGCTACTCACTAGACTTTAAGACTCATTATAACCATAAGAACTGAATATGTAGGTAGTGTTTTCTCAAAGAAAAAGGTGTGTGTTGAAGAGTTGAGTTTTGATATGATGAAGGCATAGAATACTCAGAGAGAGATGGAAACAAAATATAATCATGAAAAAGAACCACTTTAGTAATCCTAGATACTACTACGTGACTGGGTGCCATAGAATCCTGATTAATGAAATTTTGGGCCTATTAAGTTATTTGAGACTATATAGGTAGAACAAAATAAACTATTAATAGCAACTTCATCTTGCAAATATAGAAAGTCTTTTAAAACCTAATGAAGTACATTTTCCTCTCAAACCTAATAAAATTTAATCTATGTTTGAATATAAGAAGTAAAGTATGAGATAGATCGTCAAGAAGAGTCTTAATGTTTGTTTGAAAAATCCACTTGTACAAGTCCATATTCAGAAGGGATTCCTGAGTCAGGAGGGTGGCTGAATGACCTGGAGATAAGTACCTCCAAGATAAAATTCTAAAGTTTTATGATGGATTAAAAATGGGTATACTTCATATATTGATGTTAGAATCAAAGACCAGTACAATTGAGGGGAGAATCTTAATTTGGTACAATCTGATTATCTTTGATACTCTGATGGGCAAGGTTAACATTTATTAACTTAGAAAAAGAGACATTATTGGTGGGAGACTAGGATGTTGAAAAGAAAGTAAGTTGGTTTGGGAAGGAGAAAAATGAGTTTTCTTTTCATAAATTAAAAGAAATAGTTGGGAAGCTTCTCTTCAATGGTAGCTTCTAAAAGCCAACACTGCAACTAATAACTAAACTGAATATCTCAGTTCTGTGTGAACACACTAACACCATGACCACTTAGGCAAATTCATCCTTTTTCCTTGTTTGTTGAAACCCAGTAGGGGAAAACAAATATCCATCTTTGTTGTTTTGGTAATGGCTTAAAATGAATAAAGGAGAAAAAAAGAAAAAAAAAAGAGCCAAACTACAAAAAAATCCCTCCATGCCTCCAAATATAGTTTATTATCTTACCATAAGCTAATAAAAATCTGAAATGGTTGTAGCAGCAAGAAAAAGAAATTTGGGGTTAAGAAATTCAGAAATTCTCCTCCCCATACTCTCAAAGTCTGGCTTGTAACCATATCTCCTAGAACTTTTTATCGAGAGATTAAGGAGGAATTGTTAACATTCTTTTGAAGGGAAATAATTTTGTAATTTTTTTTATAGGTACATTAACATTTTTCTTAGCATAATACATCTTTCAACAAAACCTTCACCATTTACCCAGCAAATCAGTGTGATAATGTTGTTACAAAGACAATTATTTTGTACAAAACTATTAAAGTATAAAATAGATTTATTTTAATGATTTTATTTTAATGACTTCAGAATAATTAATTTTTCAAGAAATTTGGTATCTTAATAAAATGCATTATTTCTTCCTTGACAGAGGATATAGAAAAGTGGGTGATGAGAGAACAGGTACTTAGCCAGGCCAGTTCTAGTATGAATGAAGGTACAACAGAATTCCCTTAGATGGCGTGAGGAACAAACTACTTTCAGGTTCTTTCACCGGTGTTAGAAATCAAGTTAAAACAATAAACAATCTGAATTTTCCTTTTCTAACTTTCCCCATTTCCTCACTACTTATGTTTCCTTTCCCTGAGGTCTCAAACATTGCATTATTTAAATGACCTCTCATCTTTCTCTTCTCTCTTATGTTAGCCTGCCCCTCGAGCTAACATGATGATGTTTCTTATGAGTAGTGGCCAAATTGAGCTCCTTCCTTTTGAATCAGGGCCTTTCTTACCTAGAGCTGGTCAAAATATAGAGTAACCAAGTATGACTTCCAAAATTTTGTTTCTCCTTCTGAACTAGCCATGTGAAAGCCTACATCTTTCACTGCGTTTTATTATTGTCAGTTATATTTTTTCCATATACTTATGTTGTAAAATATAGTCATGATGGTTATTTGATTGCCAATGATAGGTTTTCCTTTTGCTGGGGCAGAGACAGAAAATGGAGAAATGTTTCTTTATCTCGGTTTAAATGGATCATTTAATTAATAATTGATGCTTGTAAGCTGACAGCCAGGTCATAAATTTTGGCCCATTATCCAAATTCCAGAATTATAAAGGTAGGCTTTATTTTAGTTTTTTCTTAATATATTGTTCCCTAGATTTTGATATCTCTATCAAAATGCAAAAACTAATGTAAGATTTAATCTCCATTTAAAAAATATAATTGGCTAATTTAGAACAAAAAAATTATTTTAATTATAAATTAGAAAATTTGCCATAAGTCACAAATAAATGACTTTTCCGTTGTATGTTTAAAAGTAAAAAGCAGGAATCCAATGTAATGTAATGATATGAAATTCTCATTCAATAGATTGAGGACATAAACAATACGGGAACTGAATCAGCATCAGAGGTAAATGGACGTTTACTTTAATGAAACAGTCACCTAAAATTATCTGATTCACAAATAATCTTTTAATTAAAAAATTAAGAGTTTTTATTCTTTTTATCATAAATATAGCAACAACATAAAGGACAAAAATATTTTGCAAAGCAAGATCATAGTTTTGCACTTTCTAATTTAGTGTTTTTCAGGTATGTTTTTGCTTTCATGATTAGATTAGAGACACAGTGTCAGTTTGAGATACTCTGCCAAGACTATATATTTCTGGAACTATTACCAGTAGATGAGACTGTTGAACATTTAAAAACGGCAGTTTTCATTTCATCATTTGTCTTCTTTACTCAGAGTTCCTGATAGTTTGTTTGGTTAGCATAAACTAGTAGAGTGCTGTATCTATTACCACGAAGGAACATTCAACAAGCAGAAAAATTTTGGATAACCCTTTTTATCTGACAGAGAAAGTTAAAATTCAATCAATTTGATGGTGTGCCTAAAACTACAGCCACATAAATTGGAAGCTATTTTAGGGTCATGAGTATAGATTACAGCTCTTCACTTTATTTTTGAAAAAGGTACAGAGTCAACAATACATTATGTAATAGAACTAATTAATGTAAGTTTTAAAAACAGTAAATTTAAGAATATTTTAATAGGATCAAATGCCAAAGAGTTTTGTCTATAATATGTTTTATAAGTCACTTGGAAGTACTGGTTTTTTTCTCACAAAATATTAGTTTTATTAAGTATTTAAGAACTTGCATGGAGAGAAAAATCATATGGAGAAACTTTGTGTGTTTAAACTGAATCCATCCACCATCAAATTGATTTAGAGAACACTCACATGCACATAACCTTTTGTGGTATTAGCGCACGGATAGCTAAATTCTGATCATGTCATGCAGTTTTACTTGAACAGCTGTACTAACACCATCTTCTAGGGAAGAAGATGCTCCTTGAACCTTGTGAGCAATGGATTTCCATAAGACTAGCTCATATCGTACAACAAATTCAGAGGAAGGGCTCTTCAATAGAAATCTGTAAAAATATATACATTTTCGTTCTTCATTATATTGATGGCAATGTAATGAAATTCACCAATGATGGAGGTAAAGTACCATGAAACCTAAATTTTAATTAGGAAGAAATATGCTAATTATCTCTTTTATAAATTAGGAAGGAGATGATTCACTACTTATAACAGTGGTACCTGTCAAATCACACAAAACATCTGGGAAAATAAAAAAGAATTTTGAGGATCTAGAAAAAGAACGAGAAGAAAAGGAAAGGGTCAAGTATGAAGAAGATAAAAGAATAAGGTATAAAGAGCAACGACGATCTCTCAAGGAAGCAAAGTGTATTTCACTGGTCATGGTAATATTTTTATTTTTTAAGGAACAAATCAAAACAGTTAAGTTGGTTAGAAGCATTTCCCTTTATATTAAAAGATGGGTTTTCATAATGTTTTCTTAGGATGATGAGCTGGATAGTGAGGCAAAAAAAGAATTAATTTCTCCTGGGAAACTAAAATTAACTTTTGAAGAGTTAGAAAGACAAAGACAAGAAAACCGAAGGAAGCAAGCTGAAGAAGAAGCAAGACAACGTTTAGAAGAAGAGAAGCGTGCTTTTGAAGAGGCAAGGCGGCAAATGGTAAAATAAACATATATTTATATATATATGTATATATATATATAAAACACATTTATATATATAATGATATGTATCATTAGATGTGATATATGTAACATTTGTATATTATATAAATTATATATTTATTATACATTCTTTATTATATAATAATTATATATTATCTTATAAATGCTATATATAAAACACTTAATATTAGGAACGGTAGCTGGCATTAAATAAGGTTAATTCCTATAAATTCAAGATTTTCTATATAAAAGGGTCTGATTCAGAAACTGTATACATATTGCATATACAATATGCATCTGTATTGTCTAGTTTCCATTTTGACACATTTTATCTAACGTGCTTTTTTATAAATTGTTGTAAATATGCAAAATAATTACTCAATGAATCTGGTTTCCCTTCATCTGTTAACTCAGCCTGCAATGTATTTAATGGCAGGGTGCAGCACACTTTAAAGTCTATTCATAAGTGTACACTTAGTTTTAAGTCCAATTTTTCAAATGTTTGAATTTACCAAAATAAGTTTACTAGAGAGTATGCAGTTTGTATATATGAGAGAGTATACGTGTGTGTATATATGAGTTAGGACAATTAAGTTCACAAACTCATCCTAGAAAAAGTGCTACATACCTCATTGCTGAATATCACTACAGTCACCTTTGAAGTACTCCCCTTGGGAAGCTATGC